CTGTCCAATTAAAATGAAAAATGAAGACCAAAGTGATGACCTTGACTTGTCTAATCTAGAGTTAGTTACTGGTCAAAATTTATATTTTAAAATAGTGTGATTTTTTTTTCTTTGTCAAGTAATAGTTTCTTATGAAAGATATTTTAACTATCATCAGAATTACTTCTACATCTTATTCAATATCATCTTTCTATTTTGAAATGTATTTTATTCTAATAGTAACAGAATCTTAACTTTATAAATATAATTATACATTTACTTATATTTCAAAAGTAATTGTAAAAGTTATTAAATTATCAAATTGGAAATATATGAGTTAAAACAACAAAGATTGATTATTTAGAATTACTAAGTCTAGAGGCAAATGTTAATATTCTCTTATCTTTTCAGTCTTTCTACCTAACATATACATTATGTTTTTTTAAAATATAATACAATTGTATTATATTCAAAACATACTCTGTCCTTATATTTCATCATATTAAATAATATATCTACCATATCATTAAATATTATCATTCTTAATCGTTATTTTTATCTTAACTCAAACCAGTCCCTGATTGTTATTTTAGATGACTCCTGATTTTATACCCTAAAAAACAATGCAGCAATGAAAACTATTATAGCAAAACCTTCAGGAATTTTTCTCATTATTTATCTTAATTTATCAATTTACTTCACAATTTTTTATTTAATAACCAAAGTACCAACTTACTATGATTTAAAAATTTTAGTTCCATTCCACCATCATTATTATTTAACTCAATAAAAATTGTTCCTAAAAAATGCATGCCTTTATTTTTCTACCAACTTAATTTTTTAACTTCTACCCCAAAACATTTAGTTTATAGGCATTTTCTTTCGGCAAAGTAAAAAATGTTTAAAGATATCACCAAAATACAAAAACAAGGTACTTCACATGAGTATACTGAAATTTTATGCTTTGCGACTTGTATCATACAAATGAACTCTATCATGATTCTATTTAAATAGAGAATAGAATAAAAATACATAGTACAAGTTACATTAATTAGGTAATAATTTCTGCAATGTTAGTAACCTAGTAAAAATAAAGGCACTTCTTTTTGTCTAAGCTTTTATCCCATTCTTCTCATGAAGGCAGCTGAGAGAGACTAACTCCCTGCTCATGTGTACAATGTATACCATACTTGGAGAAGAACAAGCACAGTTTTCTCTCCCAGAATATAAAATTCCATTAAAAGATTCACTTTCAAGGCAGCAGTTAAAGGGAAATGACTGTGGGGATATTCACATTTTCATAAACATTTTCCCTGTTCACGAGAAGGGGCCCTCTCTCCCCATAATCCTGATATCAAGAATCTCACAGGACTCATTTGTACTGTTTGCAACTATGGGTTCTGTGGGTTTATCAGCTTATGCTTTACAAACAAATGAGCTTTTTCATTTGTTCCTAATGACTTTGGTTTATACAATGAGATCTTAAACTGTCCCCAGAGCAATTATTTTGCTAAAATGTTATTAGAACATCTTTACAAATTTAGCAACAAGGGCGAGGGGCGGTTCATTAATGATGGAAACCTTCGTGCACCAAGGGCCCTTGGCAAATTCAGCACTCACCAATCTTGTTTTATTTTCAGCGATGAGTACAAATAATCTTGTGAACTATGCATGGATTCTTTGTCTGATCGGTGGGCAAGGAAGATGAGAGGTTGAGGGGGTGGGAAGAGATGCTAGAAAAATCAGAGTAGTATTCTCCAACTAATCAGCTCTGTCCTCGCTCTTCCCTTATGAATCTTAAGCAATGCATACCTCTTAGCATCTGCTGATAGAGCTATTTTTTTTCCTGAGAGTTCAGGGATTTGCAGCTGATACTGAGGATTATTTTTCAATGGACCATCAACAGGCTTTAAATTATATATGTAAACATATATGTGTTTCATTTTCATAGTAATCAAATTTGATACATCTGCTATGCAAAGAGAGACAGCTGCTGACAAGCCTGAAACTTGACCCGCAGTTTCTTGCAGAGCACATCCAAATTATATGGTCTTTCTCTTGGTTTGTAGCTGCAGCTTCAGACATAGAATCTGCCCCTCTTCTGGGCAGCTTTGCTTTCAAAGGACTCCTTTGCCCAGGACAACTTTTGTGAGATTCCTTCAGGGTGGTCTGTCTGTTATTTCATTCAACACTTTAGTGCTGGGTCTCCTTTTAAAATTTCTTTTCCTTGCTCTGTGTATGACCAACTTGCCATACAGCAGCTCCTTAAATACACTACCAGCCTATATCCTTCAGTCACCCAGAGGCTGCGTCTTAACAAAGATCATTTCAATGAACAAAATGGATACTTATTGTTGGAAAAGCAGTGTTGCCAATATTGAATATGTCTCAAAGATGACTGATTATGCGTGGATATAAAAAAAATAATACTAGTAATAATTTAAAAAGAGGTTAGAAGTGATATTGGTGGCCAGTTCAGCACTAAGAGAATTATAGGTTGGATGCATTGGTATTACTCTGCAGCCCATCGATTAGGTGCAAGAATTGGTGATAGTACCCTTTTAAAGGAAATACTATTTTTTAATTAAAATTTTTTTGTTGTCTTTACTTTTTATCAGATAGCTTTATTGAATAACAAAAATCAGAATTTGTGACAATTATTTGATATTACTTCTAATAGAAATCAATATATCTAATTTTCATTGTCATTAGCCATCTCTAAGCTAATGATAAAAATAAGAATGACTTTCATGTACAGATCATACTGGTTCTCAAGTTACTATACAGTTGTTATAGTGCAAAATATCCTCCCTAGGAAAAGAGTTCCCTCTCTCACAAAAAAAGATGTTTATAACAGAGATCATGATATTGTTATGTAGATTAAATAAAATAAGATGTGTAACCTTAAACGCAGTATTGCACAAAAGTGTTATTTTCTACCTCTTATGTCCCGTTAGCCTGTGTCCAGGGCTTTGGACTGGCCAATCCATTTATTTATTTGTCTTACACTACTAAGCATCAGCTAGTAGCAACTACTGAATAACAAAAATATGGACTGTTGTTGGTGATAATAGTGTATGACATTTAAGTTAGTTCCAAGAAACATATCTGCTTTTTCTTTTTCTTTTTACTTTTTTCCCATTTTCTATTTTTCTATATGCCTTTTCTACCTGAAACCATTGATATTGGAGACTGGTTTCACAGAGAGTAACAAACCCAATTCAATAGGCTTTATTCTGTAGTCTCTCTGATGTACTAATAGCTTAATGAATTTCTCTTAGAAAATAAACTGTTACTATTATGTCTAACATTAAGAAAATGTGCAATGATTGATGAGTTGATGATTATAATAGACACTTTATTATTATTTCTTGCAAATTTTTATATTGATCTCTTGATCAAAATCATGACAATAATACAGTGTTGTACTCTGTAGCCTGTAATTTTTGGAAGAAAAGACTCATATTCTTCCCTAGCTGTTGATTTAGAAGACTAGATTTTTTTAGCATTTTTATTGCACTTAGTGAACATAGAGGCGTCTTTGTAATCTTATGCTGTATGCATCATGATTGATACATTCTTCAAAATGTGGCGGTAGTGTTTTCCTTGGTGATTTAGGGTGTGCTGTGTGACTAGCAAGCCATTCACAGAACAGGGAAAAGTTTTCACCAACCACTGGGAAGATGATTGTTGGTACTTTCTTCATGGGGATCCAGGGGTAAGAGGGGAAAATAAGAGAAAGTATGAAGCTCTTTGCTAGTTTTTTTCTAATGTTTGTATTCCTTTTGTTTCCTTAAAAATAAAACAAATCAAACAAACAAAATGCTTGCCTCTAATACCACAAAGAAAAATGTCTTTAGTCAGTACTGTTAAAGTAACTTTTCTCCAAAAACTTTAATTATTTCCAGGAAGAGACAGAATAAAACAGTTTTATCCATTTCTGGGAACCATGAATTTTGTATGATATTTCTAACAACTCTATACATCTGGTATCTTAATGCACCATCCTCAATATCCTGAGTAGCCCTACTTAGTGCTAAACAGAACAAGATGAAGATCACCTTACAGATAGTCATTCAGATACTTTCTTCTGTTTTTCAAGTATTCCTTTAACTACAACAGTGTTTTAACCATCAAAATCCTACAACTTTAGAAGGGATTGTTTTATCTTGTCATCTAGAGAAAGCAATTCTTATTAGCTACATTCAAATTATAAATGAGAAGTTTTAATAATAAATTACTGCAGAAATACATTTTAACTTTTTAAAATTTAAGCATTGAGATGTTCTTTCGAAGAACCGAGTTTTAAAATGTGGGATATAGATTGAAATTTGAAAAAAAAAAAAACAGTATTTAGTAAAAATTTGCTATGGCAAAGTGCATACAACTTATAAATAGCAAGACTAACTAAATTTTCTAATAGTTTTGAAGTTAAAGTAAAAACGTAGTCTATTTTCTATAGTCACCTTTATAAACATAAGAGAAAAGAACTTTCTACTTTCTCAAAATTTACTACTTATATTTTGTTTATTTATTATCTGTATAATAATCTTTTAGGTTCCAAAATTTAGAGAGCTATTTGAGAAAAATAATTTTAGAAAAAATTTTCTAAGAATTTAGGAGGAAATGTTTCTGTTTTACCCAAATTAGTCTTTTCAACCAGTGCTTTCTTGTCCTTCTTGAGCAAAATCTTTGGTTGATAGGTATATTAATATTGGTGAAAATATAAAGCATTCTATTTATATATTTTTTAAGCCTTTATGTTCCCTTTTTTATTTAAATATAGTTTCAAGATTAGAAACAAAAATTTCATTCAGAAATACCTTTAAATAAAATACATTATTTTATTCATGGTCGCTAATATTTTTAAATATTATTATATAGTATTATTCTCTTTCAGGTAAAATCTAATTAAAAAATCATCTTTTAAAAAACTGACTATAGTAAAGCAACACCTGTCTTTATTTTCAATACTATGAAGCTTTTAATTAACAGAAAACCACCATGGGTTGCTTCTTTAGAATACCACTAAATGTTAGAGACATCGTCTACTGTACAGGAGTTTCACTGCTAGATGAGGATGTCTGGGAATTTATATGGATGAAATTCCACTCCACCACGGCAGTTTCTGAGAAGAAAATATTGTTGGAAGCCTTAACTTGCAGTGATGACAGGAATTTATTAAATAGGTGGGTCAATTAATGTTCTAAATTTGTGTAATGAGAGTATTCTTTATTAATCAAACTGTTCTGAAGTTGTTTTTATTCCCTTGAATATGTGTTAGTTACTATAAAATATATCTTTATAGAGCTAAAGAAAGTTGTTGTGTTAACATGAATAAAACTAGTTGACTTGAAAGATGTATCTTTGTTTCTAATTAATTTTTTACATATATGTTTATATATGTAAGATGATATTTTACTATAAAAGGAATTGTTTACTATAAAATTTTTAAAAGTAAGTTTGCATCATCGAATCAGAATTGTGATTTCTCTACCACAAGATTTTTCTAGAATTTAATTAATGTATTAACATACTATGAATTTGATCTCCTTTCATTTATAACCAGAAAATTGTTCTATTGATACATTTGTATTAGTAAAGTTTACATTGGACAGTTCTCTTGGAGAATATGATTAATTAAATCATGTAATTTTTGAAATTTTATAAAAATGTTGAAGTTGGTCAACTAAAAATTTCCCCACAATTCTATCCTTAAAGGCTTCTGAATCTGTCACTGAATTCTGAGGTGGTGTTGGATCAAGATGCAATCGATGTGATAATCCATGTAGCTCGAAATCCACATGGCAGGGACCTTGCCTGGAAGTTTTTTAGAGATAAGTGGAAGATATTAAATACCAGGTAGGTATAAGAGTTCAATCATTCATACTTGAATGAATGAATGTAGCTGACATCTGAGAAATAAAAGCCCAACTTTTTGTGTTAGAACAAAGGTCCAGGTAACAGGACTAGATTTTAAAATAGTCAGCCAAGATGGGTGTTGTCACTCCTGTGAAACTCAACATTACTTTAACAAGTCTATAACATTATTCATTTATTAAAGATGAATAACCGAAATCATATATGATAATGTGGGGAGTGAAAAGTTTTAGTAGTACAACTTTCCTGGACAATCTATCAAACTGCCCAAGGTTGAAGAAATTGTATCATAAAACCTCTATATCCTGAATGTGTTATAAAAATGATTTATAAATCAGATATAATGGTACTATAATAAGAAAACTTTAATTACTTCTGTAGAATTTTTTAAATTTCCGTTAAATATAAATATCATAAAACACATGAAATAAAACCATGAGATAGAGGGAACTTTTGAATCATTATATAATTCTAGTTCCAGTAGAATTCATTCCTGAGACATCTTGTTTCATGGTGAGAATTCTTCAGCCTCAATTTTAGAAATATTTCATTATACATTGAAATGTATTATAATACATGTTAATTTATTACTCTGATAATCTCGATGGTATTTTAAAATTAAATTCATTATAGAGCTTGTAAATGTTGAATGTTCTCAAACTAAATGTCCCTACACAGTGTGCAGACCTACTGCTCTGTCTCAAAAACTGGTGTATGAACTTTACTTTAAAAAGTACACCTTTATCAGTTGGCCTCATATAAAGAGTTCGATTTAAATAGATGTGTCATATTCAAACATAATTCTATTGACAGATATTTTATTGTCAGCAAGCACTAATATTCCTAGAAAGTGCATTGGCTCTTTTTGTATTTTCAGCTCAGAAATTGGAATGATTTGAAGATTAGAGCTTGCTTTGTTGTCATACACATAATGTAGTAAATAGTTAGACACATGATGAAACTAATTTGTACAAGCATTTTGTTATCAAGAGTATCAAATATCTACCAGTACACATAGTTTCTTTAGGGAGTGGTTTCGTAGATCAGAGTTCAGTGTAATGTATATATAGTTTAGACTCTATCAAAAAATGTTTGGTTCCTGATATAGCTGTTTTGTCTCAGAGTTCGTGATTTCTAATCAAAAAGTAGAAAGGTTGAGATTTTAACATATCTACAGATACGGCAGCATTTAATTTGATAAATAAGATTGCCTTCATCTACTCCTATTCTGTCAATCCTTGAACATTTGAGTTCATGGGGACAATGTCCAATGTTCTCATTACTTCCTCTCCGGCAGATTCTTCCTGGTTTTAGTTGCCATCTACTCTCATGGTTTTAATTACTCTCAAATCTATATTGCTAACTCAGACATTTCATCAAGCTACACCCTATAATTGACAGATGCCTGTTGGGATCCCCTACTAGGGTATACCTGCAAAGCTAAACCCATCATTTTCACCTTTCTTCCTTTTCTAAGTGAACAATGTCTATCCACCAATTTTTCAATCCAGACACCTGGAAATCTACATACAGCTCCCCCTTTCCCTTCCCATACGTAACAATGAGATTTGAGGTCTTGTCAATTTAATAATTCCTATATGTTTCTTGTATTAGTCTTCTCCTGCTACCACTGCCTTATCTCTTACCAGTACTCTTAACAATACCCTTCTCCCACTCTGATTCTATAATTATGTTCAACACACATACACACGGCTTTTCTCTTTGTCCCAAGAATCACTCTGAAAAACAATTGTGACATTTCCCTATTGTAAAACCTTCAATGGTTCTGTGCTACTCTGAAAACTAAGGTCCCTAATAAGTCCTCTGATTAACCTCTAGGCCTTCTTATTCTTCTATCCCCAGCACTCTTAATACCAAATGCTTGCAGTTGTCTACACACACTATGTTGTTTCACATCGCCTTACTTCTGTTTACATTGATCTTCTGCCAAAATTACTTTCTTCCTTGATTTTTGAAACTACTCCATATTCATTCTATGTGACCTCATGTCCCTGAATCCTTTCCCAAGATCCCACAGCTAAAAAGACCTTCTCTTAATAAGGTATATAATTTTATTATAATTATATTTAGCCACAATAAATGGAAATTATCTGTTTACAATACTGGTAATATAATGCCTTTAAAGAAAGGTTTGTGCCTTATTCATTTTCACAAGACTGTAAGAAAGTATAAGTAAAATGCTCTTCAAAAAAATTATTTTTATTCCTGGACAATAGGCCATTTCTGTAACCACATAGTGATTACTACTGATTGCTTACATTATTAAGTGCCTATTTAATTTTAATTAGATAACTTTTTCCCACAGAATAGTTTGATGTTAGAATTATAAAAATTATAGCAGTCATCCAGTTTAGTCTCCTCATTTTACAGATGACAAAACTGAGGCTTCGAAAGCGAAATTACTTAAGGTTCCAAAAGTAAGAGCGACATTAGAAAACCTCTTCTAACAGTGGCTAGACCTTTGCTTCCAAATACTCAGAATCTTATTTTTGATGTACTCAGTTCTAAGAGTACAGTAGCCTGTGATAAGTATCCTTAGCATAGTAGAGACAGATTAATAAAATAAGAAATCTTTCTAACTCATGGACATGAATTGCTTTTTGCCTTGGGTCATGGGTCAAGTAATTATGTTTGTGGTAGGATTATGCAATTCAAATGAACAACTTGATATTTTATTTTAATACCCACATGTAAAAGGAGAATGCCAATGTCAGTTGTAACTGACCAGATGAAAGGATCTGTGTGATATACTGTAATGCCCAAATTTATCTGGCAGTTCTGTTTTCTTTGTTGAGATTATTTTTCCATATAGTGAGTTAGGTTACTATAAAATTTTCAAATACTTCTTCCTCAGGCCTTGGAATTGGGAATATAACAGTAATTTTCTTAATCTAATTTTAGAGGTCTCCCCCCGCCCTTTTTTTTAATTTACTACAACTCAGACCTCTCTTAAAAATTATGAGCCAAATCAGGGGACCTCTGCTGATATCCCATAGCCACAGCTCTTTGCACCTCTCCGACTCCCTAGAGAAGTGGACCTTGAATGCTCTGAGATCTTAATGGCATCAAGACAACACTGGTCAAATGGAACCCTCGAGAAGGATTCTAAAAACTCTTTATTGTGGTATTTCTTAAATTACTGCCTGTATTAACATTAAGCCTTTTTTTTTTTTTTATCTTTTGAGGTATGGAGAGGCATTATTTATGAATTCCAAACTTATCAGTGGAGTTACAGAATTTCTTAATACTGAAGGTGAACTTAAAGAGGTAAATATTTTAAGATGAGTTCTAATGCTTTTCTTTTATAAATATTAAATTATATATTTACTTCAACCATTTATTCCCAACAGATTCATATCCATTTCTTAAATGCGCGCGCACACACACACACACACGCGCTAAAGACTTTACTCAATTAATTACTTGCAAAGATATTTCTAACATACTAAACATTGAATGTCTGGGAGAAGTGTTCAAATGTAATGATTTTCAAAGTGGGAGGCTTCAAATCCACTCCAGAAATCTTCGATAACAATCAGATGCTCATTAGCTGATTCTGTGAACTCAGTTTAGGATCCTCGAAAAGAACAAAACTATGCTTTCATAATGACGCAGTATTTAGATACAGGAAACCAACGTTGAGGCTGAAGTACAGAACTTGAGTCTCACTACCTTGTGTTCAGGCCCATACAGAGAATGGATGTGATAATAATTCTTCATGCTATCCAGTCTGTTAAATGGAATGAATTCATATGTTGGAAGGGAGTGTATCTTGCAATATATATTGAAATTAATAGTTTGTTTAAAATTTTGCTTGATACAATCAATCACAAAGGAATTTCATTAATGAAAATAAACTTAATTTTTTTAAGCCCTAGTATCCATTTTACAGAGTATCTAACATTCCCTTTTTCTCCGGTTTATTTCTCTGGAAACCAGCTACTGTATTATATCTCTAATAGAGAGGAATGTGAAATGGGAAGGAGGACGTAGGCAGGAGGAAGGAACAAAATATAGATACTTTTAATTGATTAAAATAAATGGGGCTTCAAACATCTATCTCTTTTTCATTTCCTGCTCTCCCTATTATAAAACATAGCTGAGCTTTGTCTTTGAGACTCATGATTTCTTCAGTTTTCACTGATGGAATACCTGATGCTGTGACACAGAGCTAATCACATTGAGCAGCAATCTCCCAGAAGCATCAACCCTGACACCATCTTTAATATCTTCTGATATTGCCCAATTTTGTATGATCATCCCCCATGTACTAACTTGGATTCTTTCACACCACGAACTAAGCTAAGTCTCTGATTGTAACGATTTAAAATCTAATTTCTATCCCTGCTATGTGTGTTCCCAACCCTGAAAAATTTGGTTTTGAAAGCCCCAGCACACATTCCACTATATTTTTTTAATAAAGGAAGCTAAATGAGAAGGACGTTTTTTTCATATCCATACGAAGCAGAAAGAAAAAAACAATTAAATTAATGATTGCTTCCAATTTTCTCTGTATTTCAATAAGTACTTTTAATTCCATGATTTCATATTCAATAATCTGAGAGTAAAAGACTCATTTAGTCACAACCTGTGCAGCTTGTTGAAGTGGAAGATCCTTTCCTCTTCCCCCTTCACCTCCCTTTTCCCCACCTTGTTGCTACCTTCCTCCTCCCACCTTCTTTCCCATCTTCTCCTCCTTTGCACCTTCTCCTCCCTGATGCTCTCTATCTTCTATCCTTCTATCCTCTAACTCTTTCATTTTTCCGTGCTTCAGTAATACCCAGGCCACATGAAAAAATCTTTTAAATGGATATTTAATTGATTTTATCATATACTGACCATTGGTTTTACATATTTCTAATATATTAATATTATATATCTAATTTTTTACACTTGATTTAATTTCCATTTGAAATGTTCCCAGATGCCCCTATAATAAAAGGTACAATTTCAAAACTGAAACTAAATTGTGACTTTTTAGTCCATCATCTATAAGCAGCTAACTTCACAGTAGAGGCTCTCCATAGCATGAGAAGACACAGCTGCTTCCTCTGACTTTCTAGTTGAACAACTGCAGCCTGAGGCTTTTCCATACTTTAATTATCTCGTCATGGGTAAAATTGGGGATTGCTGTTGTTGGGCAGGATGGGGGGTTAATTTTTATTGCTGATAACCCCGTTCCATAAATATAAAGGGGCTGAGGAAATTCGTCTCATTCTCTTGTAAGTGATTAGCCTTGTAAGCAGAAATTCCAATCTGCTCCCTTTGGATATGGCATATTCTTATTTCAACACTTTATAGATCAAAGAGGAATCAGCATCTTTATGAATTCTGAAAAACTCATTTGAGATTTTAATGATCTCCATCAACTTTAGGGGCATTAAGTAGAGATACTTGTACTATTTCATGGTCCCATCCCCAAAACCGCATTCTAGAACCTGAAATTGGCAATATCCTTTAATTACATGGCTCTGGCAATTTGAACAATATTTCTCCATGAGACAGCGCATTTGTTCCTTAATTTTAAACTAGTGGAAGCACAACCACATGGAACCTCAGAGGACCTTGCCATTTTTTATACTAATGTCCATTAAGCAATCCTCTCCAGCACTCATTCTCCTGCCTCTTGAATCTAATATACGATAGTGTTGTAGAAGAATATAGATCTTGTGCATCACAGACATCCCATTTACAGTTTTAATGTGGAAAACATAAACTTCATAATAGGGCAATAGTTAATCCAATTCATTTATATAGTTACTAAGAGTACATTATGTTTTGTAATTTATTCTGCAAATAACTTATTTTGTGATGTTAGTGTCTAGGGTACCCTAGAATAAGAGTTTTATAAAATGTTAAAATGTTTTTTAATAGAGAAATTAACAAACATGTCTAGAAATGTTATGCTGTGAAGAACAGGGAGTGCAAACAACTCTGACATCTTACTAAATGTTATTTTATAAAAACGTCTAAACTCACATTTTAAAATAAAAGCATAAGATCATATAAATATTTAGAAAATGCAGTAGTAACAGCTAGCAGCAGCAGAAAACCTAACAAAGAGCTGCAGAAATAAGCAATCCGGAGTGACAAATGTCTCCCATTTACACCATGGCCTCTAGTGAGGCAGGGGTCTGGAAGGCACTGTGATCACTCCCTAGGACCAGTTAGAGCACTGCTCTCACCACCTGTTTGCCAGAAGAGCTGTGGAAGAATATAGGGCATAAGATCAATTTATGCCAACTACCGAAAGTAGGCCAGATGTGTTCTGATGAATAAGCTACTTCTAAGATTCATGAGTCACCTCAGGCTCTCTGAGCTCATGAGGGCAGTATTTAGTGTACTTAAATTATTATTTAAGAAATGAATCCCTAGAAGCCCACCAGTTATATTTTCTACTGAGTGTTCTCTTGCAGGATAATCTGACCTACTATCGTGTAAACAGCACATTCATATTCAAACCCTAGTTTGCCTTTGAGGAAGACTTAGAGTTTTACTTCATGTGTTCCAGTTGACTTGATGTCTCATCAAGAGGCCGAGAGCATGCCCCACAGAATCAAAGTTGCCAAAGGGTCATTATCACTATCTGCATATTCAGCGACTGCCTATGAAAATATGTAATAAAGCAGAACATATTTTTTAAGTAGTAGGTGCATTTTTCCCTGATTGACATATATTATGTAAATAATGTCACTATAATGAACATATGCAATGTACAAATGTACAATGTAATATATATATTTTTGTAATAAATGGAAACATTCAAAACATCGATCAAAATGTATTATTTGTTGCTTAAGGGATATAGACTGAATGAGTCTGAACATAAATAAATAAAAACAAATGAATTATTGGATATCAGCTAAAGTTTAAAAATATGATTCAAGTGTTTTCATTAGACTTTTTTTGTATATATGGGAACATATTACAGGTATATGTGTATGGCACACTGCCTGAAATATTGGCGCTATTTGATAAATTCCAATCCCTTTTCATCTTCCTCTTTCTTTTGTATGTGTCAGTCAAATGTCAAATTAGTTTTAAGGATAGCACCAATAAATCTTTGTTATACATTGGATATTTCACGTATTTGTTATAAAAGCATAGTGATTTTGAACTCTTGTAAAGGATATAGCTCTGAGATATAGTTAGCCATTGCTGATGCCATAGGACATAGAGGTTTGTAGGAAAGTAGAAGATAAACTTTGAGAAAACTCATCAGTATTACGTAATCAAAGTAACACTGTCATAAACAAAGTAAACTACCTATGAACCAGTTTTTAGATTAATCAAAAAGTATAATTAACTCCACTTTAAACACCCCCTCCCCTTCTCCAATTCTCTTTGTCCTTGAGCCAGTCTTGATGCACTACATTTCTCTCCTGGCATATCTTCCATGTGGCACCCACTATGTGATGAATCACACCCCAGGCTAATTACACCACATAATGTTTCTATGTTGCAGGTTGATTTTTCACATTTGTCTATTAGCATCACAATCATTTGCTGGTTGCCAGTTTCTTAAAACATATCAAACAGAGAGAAATACTGTTATTATTAAATCTTGAAATAAAGATTCAGCATTCTTTAGAGAAAATCTTAAATTTATACAAATTACGACAAAAATTTAAAAATTACTTCTTTTAGTTACGTGCTCAAATTCTCTACCTAAATAAGACCACGTTTCTCCTTCATTCTTTTTGAGTCTAGTAACTCAGGTGATTGCCATGTCATTTCATCATCTGGTTTTTATATAATCATTACTTTTTTTTTTCTCCACCACCCAATTGGGTATGCTTTGTAATGAGAACTCATTGTTGCCACAATCCCACCAGCTTATTATAAAAAGTTAAATTAAATATGTCTGTTTTACTATTTATTTATAAAAACTGAACTTGGAGCTGTTTAAATTCTGATATCCACCTTTTTTTCCTTTCAATTCCAAAAGAAATCACACTTAATGGACACAATCTATTATATTGGGTTTCATTACTAAGTTTGCTCCACATATTAAATATACCTTCTATAGTGACTGTGGTACTTTGTTTCAAATGCATCTTGTTTACGTATATTAGACATTAGTTCATGTTAAGACATTCATATTTACCATTTAAAAATATCTATTTTCAGCTAAAGAACTTCATGAAGAACTACGATGGAGTAGCTGCTGCCTCTTTCTCAAGAGCTGTGGAAACCGTTGAAGCCAACGTGCGCTGGAAAATGCTTTACCAAGATGAGCTTTTCCAATGGTTAGGAAAAGCTCTGAGACACTAATATGTGTTTCGTAAACAATTCATCTCAAAATTTTGAGAAGACCTGCATTATGTAGAATGAGGAAAATGTACTACATGAAGAATTGCCAGATTTTCAGTGTTAACGTGTGGGAGGAATTTTTTTTTAATTGTTGGTTTTGGGGGATTTCGATTGTTTGTTTCATTCATTCTGTTTTGTTTCTCTACTGGGTGTTCTTCTCTAAAGAAACTCTTGCAAATGAAACTAGCCATGATTGCTTCAGCTGTATATTCCTTGCTGTACAGGACCAAATACGATAGTGGTGCATGTTGATGTTGCAGTCAGTTTGGAAAAACATATTCAGAATATTTTGTGCATGGTTGTGTGGTCCTGCCTGTATTCCAGCATGCTTATTTAAGATGTCCAATGTTGTATGTGGATATATGTTACATCCAGGATGGGCATTATGCAAAAGCACAAAGATTATCTATGACAATCAGTGTTGCAGTAAAAGAAAAACTAAAAAAGGGAATACTATTCTTAGTTTTGGGCATTGTAAGAGGTAAAATAGCCCTTTAAGTGACCAGAGTCACTTATATCAACACTTGGATTGTCTTGCAATGATTACTGTGATGCTAACTCATTTTCTTTGAGTTAAAGCTCTGTATATGTTAAAAAGGCATATATGCATAGTGTATGCATATGTGTATGTACACTGGGAAGCCCCCTATGTATGTAGTATGTTGTACACTGCACTTCTGCAAAGAATCTTTTCAGATCAAAGAAAATTTATTTCTTTTTATAAACTTACTCAAACTTTGAAAAGGCTGAAAGGAATTAATCTCAACACTATCATTCCTGACAATTTCCTGACTAAATTTCTCAACTTGTTATGGATTTTTTCATCTACTTCCTGAAAAATGATCTATTCTACTACATAAAAATGAATTCAAACAAAATTTATGTGTAGATTGAACACTGTTCTGATTCTTCTAAGTGGCAGCCTCATATTCTAAATATAGATTCTGCCATCATTTTAAGGTTCTTATTGCATAAAGCAATTGTGCATAATTAATAATTGTTAGTGCTGCAAAAATATTTATTTTTTATCCTGTTTGTTTTTCCACCTCATGTTGGGTTGTCCAGTGAGTTAAAAACTCTCACCATGTGTTGATTTTGTGTCTACGTCAATCTAATCCTCCATTAAGCAACCATACCTCAAGTGGGTCTATTAGCTTTTAATGACCTTTGATGCCAGTTGTGCCACCCATTAAAATGAAAAGTTGCTTTTCTTGAGTAAAGATTTTTCTTTGGTATTGACAACCTTTTTCATGCTTTGTGTTATGTAACACAAATGTTTTTAAATGGTATTCTCACCCAGTAGGCTAGCTCTTCAAACATTGCTTAGATGTTCCAAATTGATATATTTTAAGTATCATTATAAAATACCAATACAATTACTGAAATACGCCAAATGTCTGTGGACCACTTTCTATTTTCCCGAGGTTTTCCACTCCTCCAAATGTTCATGCAAATCACTGAAAGAAAATATTTTAACTCTAATAGTCAGTGAACACAGGCATGGGGTGTGGGGCGGGGAACAGAGGGTATAGATATTTTTGAAACTGGAGCCATAGATTTATTGTAAGTTTGTAGTTTCTAATCCACATAATGAGTATCACCTATAATTGAATTTTATCTTTTTTAGCAGTTAATATCTGTTACTTATACCTAAATTTTTCAGCACTTCATTTAATTAAAACACATAAATTTTAAATACTCTATGTGATGTTAATAAGACATAGTAATGCATAATATAAAATCTAAGAGTCATCTCACTTATCAGAAGTGATGAAATTCAATTAATACTCATCAGATATACAAAATCCTTAAGGGGTAAGTTCTGAGAAATAACTATAAATATCACACTACTGTGCAAGTCCAAAACATGTACTATATCACCATTGGATTCATGTAACAGAGAAGATAAGAAACTAGAGGTGGACATCTTGTTTTGTGTCGTGAATTACTGAAAATTCTTAGTAGCTGTGATATTCTTTTGAATGAAATCACCATTTCCAGAGTTGAGTTAGAAGGGATTTTATAGTTCTTTTTTTCCTCCCCACTGTTGATAATCTTAATCCTCTTTCAGTATTTTAGTGGCCTTGAACAACTGGTTTAGCTACAATGTCGAATCCTAAGTGTATAATTATGTGCAATGTTCAATACCTCATATAATATTTGTTCAACAGTGTAAGTGGTATCAATGGCATTGAGATGTAATTTTTGTTCTACATATTTTTCAATAATTATCGTTTCAAATATTGAAGATTATATCAGGCTTTAATGTTTTTTAGTTGTTTAAATAAGTAATATTTTCAAAATAATAAAATGACCAATGATACTCTTGGAATATTCTGTAAAATGTAGTTATAAAATTCTATTTTCTACATAGAGTTTTTATCTTTTTTCTCTTCTTTGTCTGTTTTTCAAATCATATATATGCATGAAATAACAATTTGTCGAAAATGTCCAACATCTAGGCTTAAAAGTTTACTGTGCCGATTTATGTACACCCACCAAACTTGGTTTCAATTATAAAGGACTAAATTATTTACCATACTGGGTATTAAATTTCTCTAGGTAACTTGTAAATAAAGATTTCCCCCATTTTGATACATTTTTCTCTTAAAATTTTCTTATAATCTTTGAAGTTTTTTTTTTTTTAATATACAAGCACAGCCTCTAAAGCTAAGTTTATTCTTGAGTTCCAACAATATTAATTTTCACTGGAGCTTTAACTCACTTTTGTTTATATTATTTCTTGGATAATTACATCATGAAACTGAGAATTTTATGGTAGTATAATTTACAACTATTATAACAGTAATATCTTACAAGGGTATTAAGATTATACCATATATTTATAAATTGTACTTTATTTTCAAAGAGCTTTGACACATGCTATTTTATTTGACTCCTTTCAAAACCATAATATATTATATTAGCCCTGATATTCTGGTGAGAAAACTGAGGTGCAGAGCAACAACATGAACTATTTAAAATTATATCATTGTTATTTTGGAAACAGGTACAATAACCTTTCAATATAGACTTCTTACAACTAAAATAGACATGTTTGAAATATCTGTATCTATTTCAGTAGAGATTTTTCAAACACTGGAAAAGTATCAAAATATGTGAACAACTGGTTCACATATTTACAATAATTATATTATTTTTTAAAGTCTATATTTCTAATTTGCATGATGTCAGACAACGATGAAGTGTTAATCAGTGTTCACTTGGTTCAGCATAAGTAAAGAAATAGTGGGATAAAAAATATAGTTAACTGATTATAGTTTCATTTTTTTATCTTTTGGTCAACATTGTTTAAGTGACCTTATAATACTGATAATTTGATTTGTTTTCCACACAAATTTCTCTGATAAACTTTATCTGTAGTACCAGATGGTCAGACCACAGGTGAAATGGTGTTCATCTACATCAGTGAAAATAACATTCAGTAAAATGTTTATAAATCTACGCTAAGTTGTAAAAAAAACAAATTGTGCATTAGTAGTACTGAATTAGATGCAGTAAAGTTATTCCTAAAGAAGTTTACAATAATACATTTAATTAAAATCTACTGGCTATTAAAAACTAAGGATTTTTTTTCTAGGAAGTCAGAAATTTAATTGTCCTATTGATTTTCTCAGTAACGCCGATAAGGTAAACACATATGCTATTAAAGCAGTAGTAAAAGCTTATATAATAAGAAATTCAGATTCTCATACCTATGTTTTTTCTTTATCACAGATCATAGCTGAATTATTATCATTTGACTCTGCTAATTATACAATGACAGAATTCAATTTAATTAAACCAATATTTATTCAGCACCTTTTAGTTCATAAAACACTTTTGAGAAATAAGCAGAGATAAATAATTCCTGAAGGAATTCATATAACAATGAGTGAAACAAACATAAGGAAATAATGAACCAATAGGAATAAGAGCAACATGAAAAATAATTACATGCTACAGAAGAGGAACTAAATACTTTTTAGATATAGATAATATTATGCAATTATTTTCATGCACTAATTCTCAAAACTTTTATGTATAATTCTCATTGTTTTGTTTCACAGCACTTAGTCATGTTTCACAGAAATTTGTAACATTTAGAAACTATGATAAAACCACTTAGTTTAAATTGTATAATTGGAATATAAGTTGGGATAAAATTTATTTTAAGAAAAGCTGTTTGAGTATTTAATAATATCACTAAGTTCCAGTAAGAATATTTAACTTACTTATGTAAAAGTAACTTATGTTCAACTTTTCCAAAACAATTTTAACATTCTATTTGTACAGTCATAATATGTTAATTTTAAATTAATCATATGCTTTTTAAAGAAGGTTCAACAATTCTTATCCTAGGCAATAATGTATTTTTCAATTTAATATATGTGAACTTTAGAATACAAAGATGTTCCTGTAAAATATTCTAGAATTCCAAATTTTAATATATAAGGGTAACCTTCAGTTCAATTGCTTTGAATTAATAAGAAAAGATTTTATTAAAATATTTTGTTTAATGTGGTTTATATTCAGAAAAAAAAGTCTAACCAAGAGATACTCGAGTAGCTTTTATTTTCAATTTTATTTTATAAAATTTTATTTCAAAGTTTAGAAAAGGAAATTTTAAAAGTGTCTTAAATGTTAAAACTAAGCAATTGGTGAAAATACATGTTATAATTTTAACTATACTGCATATACGTAATTATGTGCATTTATTTTTTAAATAAATAGTTCACAAGTGGCCCTAGCAATAGGTGGTATGATTTTATCCCAATTTTGTAAACATAGAATATTAAAAAGTTTTATTTTGAGTATTTAGTATTTTAAGAATAGCACATTGAAGATTTTTATCCTTTAGACATTCCTGTTTCATGTACTAATGAACTAAGAGAAAAATTAACCAATTATTTATTTTGATCTAAATTAACTTTTTTTGTGCTATATAAATGTTAAGTGAGTTAGAACATAGGAAAAGAACAAAATTTTGAGTGTCTGTTAAATGTCAGGCATTTTATAGATACTATCTCATTTGATAAACCTAATAAAGTGTTATCATCCTTTTTACCAATGAGGAGACAAGAGTAAGAGTTGTGATCAGTTTATATAACTGGTGGTAGGTGTTAGCTGGGACTCAAAACCCTGCATATCCAAGCCTTATATGACTCAAATTAGTCATTAATCTGCCTTGAACATGAATGAAAACATTATGATTATCCATAAAGACCAGTCTCTATAGAAGATTTGAATAGATACTTAGCTCACTTTCTCATCATCATTCGAGAGAATTGTTAATTAGTGCATTTTGGTTTGCCACTCATTTTTTAACAAGATTACTTCATATAGCCCATAAAAGTTTTCATCAGGATGTTTTACATTAGAGTGCTGTGTAGTGCGTTTTAAGCTATAATAGGTAATTAACAGATACTTCAGCCAACAAGCCATAAAAATAAATAAAAAGACAGGCTGCATTGCAAAGCTCTTCACCAGTGGACCGAAAATAAGGTTAAACCTCTGATCTGCATATGGAGGAGACCTGTTAGTCTGGCGAGAATTTCGCTTAGTGATGAGGTCAGAGAAGCATTTCTCCCTTTCTGCTTAGAACTAAAGATGGACGGCAGCTGCTTAATTTACTTCAAGTTACATTTCCATTGGCCTGCTGTGTGTAGATACAGTTTAAGATAACTGCTTTGACCTAGCTCTGCACAGGTCAACTTGCTTCTAATAGCACACATTTTTATTATGTTGTGTAAGTAAATGAAAGAGTGAATTGTTTTATAGCAAATATTACAGTGGAGTTAAGAACGTCTGCCTTAAATGTGCAGTACATTTATTTTCTATGTTAATCATTCAGTAACAATTCTTTTAACTCCTTGTAGTTCACAGTATTATCCTTGCTCTCATACGTTATTGTGTTCCCACCTTCACATAATTTATGACCTACTGGTGAGAACATTTATTATTATTTTTTGTTATTCAGTTTCATTTAAAATAGGTTTATTATCTGTCATTTTTCAAGTCCTAAACATTTTTCAAATGAATTTCTCCTATCTTTTAAAATATTGTATAATAGTAATCTCACATTTTTTAATGCTACTTGTGCATTGCTATATGTGTATATACTTGACGTTTTCTTTTCTATCTTTTAGTCTCTTTATGTTCTGATAGTCATTGAAAACAAATTAAAACACATTAGGACTATGAAGCTTATGCACTGTCCAGATACTCCAAGCAGGAAGAGAAATTCTGCCTTTGAGCTTTTATAATTGGCTTTCTGGACACCATTGTGTCCATCAGATAATCTTTTAAAAATATTATGTGGACTATTTCTAATGAACTTGGATTTATTCACCAACAAAGTTTATTTTCCTAAAACCATTCCCCAGTTGAACAGACTTATTTAAAATATACCAAATGGAAGCAATTTTTTCCTTTCTAATATTTTATGATTTAGAAATAAAAATGTAACTTCTTTTAGTAAATACAAGTTATGAAAGCATTTACCAAATAAATAACTTTTTGTTAGTTTAGCAGATGTTTTCTATGGTATGCCTTTAAAACGATTCAGTAAAAATTGAAACAGTATGTATACAACATGAAATTTTTATTTCATTATAAGCAAGCACTAACAAAATGGATTTTTCTAAATGAAAAAATTTGTCTCCTGTATTTTAAGCAGAACAAATTTGAATTTTGCCTCTGATAATAAAATTTTTACAGTAATGTATAATTCATCACTGTTTTAATTTTCTGACACGTGCAGATAAGGCCAAGATAAATAATACCTTTTGGTTTTTGATTATGCTTCTGTTTTCACTTGAGAGCCCCTTTAAAAAATTCTGAGTAGATACACTGTAGAGGTCCATGAAAAGAGAAAAAAAAAATCATTTTCTTTTCTGACATGGACTTTTAAAAACCTATACACATGCCGAAGCTACAACAAAGAAGTATGTATTTGTGCTATATTGTGAAAAGAAAGAATACCAATTCGGTCTCCTTTCTAATTATATGCCTTTAGAATAAATGAAATGATCTGCACTTTAGTAAAAGTGATTTCACCTGAAATGCATTTTAGATTGCTTTTTAATAGGTTTTCTGCTTTCGACAGACTGAGGATCCTTGAATTTCAAGAACAGTTTTCTATAACAACAGGACTATAAAATATATATAATTAGGGCTCATAAGTAGTACTCAAAATATATTTTTCAATGTCTCTGCATTTTTCTCTTTCTAACGATTGTTCAGAGAACATTAGAACCTGACTCTGCATAGCCACACATTTAAGCCTTAACCATAATACTTTATATGGCCATAGGAAATCCTCCTCTGCCATGATCATGAGGATAAGAAATGGAAGGCCTTCCAAGCCAAAATCAAGAATTCTCCTATTGGTATTAGAACCAGTGTCTATATGTAAGTGTATATATACAGATACACATATACTGAAGATATATAGATGTATATATATATATAGATATATGTATGTATACATATAGATGTATATGTATGTATAGACACACATACATATGTATAGATATACCATATATACAGATATACCTTATATCCATATATAGTTTATTTATTTCATTGTCCAAATCC